TAACAACATTTTAATGAAAACGTAAAGTTTCTTGGGGGGACAGGAACGTAAAGTTTCTGGGGGAACATTTTAACAACATTTTATTGAAAACGTAAAGTTTCTCTGGGAAACAGGGAACGTAAAGTATCTGGGGGGACATTTTAACAACATTTTAACAAAAATGTAAAGTTTCTCGGGGGGACAGGGAACTTAAAGTTTCTGGTGGAACATTTTAACAAAATGTTAAAAAACGTAAAGTTTCTCGGGGGCATATGGAACGCAAATTTTCTGGGGGGTCATTTTACGTCTCGGGGACAGGGAACGTAAAGTTTCTAGGAGGACATTTTAACGAAAGCTTAAAGTTTCTCGGGAGGACAGGGAATGTAAAGTTTCTTGGGGGACATTTTATGTCTCAGTGGACAGGGAACGCAAAGTTTCTGGGGGGTCATTTTATGTCTTGGGGACAGGGAACGTAAAGTTTCTGGGGGGTCATTTTATGTCTTGGGGACAGGGAACATAAAGTTTCTGGGAGGACATTTTAACGTAAGCGCAGTTTCTCGGGGGGACAGGGAACGTAAAGTTTCTGGGGGGACATTTTATGTCGGGGGACTGGGAACGTAAAGTTCCTGGGGGACATTTTATTTCTCGGGGGACAGGGAACGTAAAGTTCCTGGGGGACATTTTATTTCTCGGGGGACAGGGAACGTAAAGTTCCTGGGGGACATTTTATTTCTCGGGGGACAGGGAACGTAAAGTTCCTGGGGGACATTTTATTTCTCGAGGGACAGGAAACGTAAAGTTTCTGGGGGGACATTTTATGTCTCTGGGACAGGAAACGTAAAGTTTCTGTGGGAACATTTTATGTCTCAATGTACAGGGAACATAAAGTTTCTGGAGGGACATCTTAACGTCATTTTAACGAAAATGTAAAGTTTCTCGGGGGGACAAGAAACGCAAAGTTTCTGGGGGGACATTTTATGTCTCGGGGACAGGGAACGTAAAGTTTCTGAGGGGACATTTTATGTCACAGGGGACAGGGAACACAAAGTTTGTGGGGTGACATTTTATGTCTTAGGGGACAGAGAATGCAACGTTTCTGGGAGGACATTTTATGTCTCGGGGGACAGGGAACGTAAAGATTCTGGGGGGACATTTATGTCTCAGTGGACAGGGAATTTAAAGTTTCTGGGGGGGACTTTTTAACGAAAACGTAAAGTTTCTCGGGGGGACAGGGAATGCAAAGTTTCTGGGGGGACATTTTATGTCTCGGGGGACAGGGAACGTAAAGTTTCTGGGAGGACATTTTAACGAAAGCGCAGTTTCTCGGGGGGGCAGGGAACGTAAAGTTTCTGGGGGGACATTTTATGTCGGGGGACAGGGAACGTAAAGTTCCTGGGGGACATTTTACTTCTCAGGGGACAGGGAACGTAAAGTTCCTGGGGGACATTTTATTTCTCGGGGGACAGGGAACGTAAAGTTCCTGGGGGACATTTTATGTCTCGGGGGAAAGGGAGCGTAAAGTTTCTGGGGGGACATTTTATGACTCGGGGGACAGGGAACATAAAGTTTCTGCAGGGACATCTTAACGTCATTTTAACGAAAATGTAAAGTTTCTCGGGGGGACAGGGAACGCAAAGTTTCTGGGGGAACATTTTATGTCTCGGGGACAGTGAATGCAACGTTTCTGGGAGGACATTTTATGTCTCGGGGGACAGGGAACGTAAAGATTCTGGGGGGACATTTATGTCTCAGTGGAATTTAAAGTTTCTGGGGGGGACTTTTTAACGAAAACGTAAAGTTTCTCGGGGGGGACAGGGAATGCAAAGTTTCTGGGGGGACATTTTATGTCTCGGGGGACAGGGAACGCAAAGTTTCTCAGGGGACATTTTGTGTACCTCACAGACTCCAGCAGAAGGGTTGTGTTTTTCTGCTTGGTCATGCTGAATGTGAGTGTGTCGCTGCTGAGAGTCCTGTCCACAAGAGGCCAGTAGAGAGACGCTTTCATCTGCACACGAGTGTTTCAACTCTCTGCTGTCTGTGAGAGTTCAGGGCTGTAACGAAGGCTGTGGTGTCCTGGATGAAATACCCAAGCACTCCCTGCGCTCTCTGTCGGGTCACCAATGACGTACAGAGGGTGTGAGTGGAGGCGTCCAATCAGACGCTAGTGTCCCAGCACAGGAGACACTTAGCACTTGAATAAAGACACCATGCTGTCTTTGTCAACAAGCCTTGCGTCATTACCAGGCAGAAACCCTTCTCTCAGCTTAAATTCCCACAGCTCTTCTTTTCTCCGAATCAAACCCCCTTGTAAAGAGAGCTTTTTAACATGCTAACGCAGTGTCCCACCATAAACCTCTTGAAATGTCAGCTGTTTATCTGTTCCGGTTATCCGCTCACCTATCAAGGATTGTTTGATCTTTAACCTCCTATCTTTTGTACTCTCGATCCAAGTATTGTGCCATAGATTGTAAAACAATACAAACAGTCAATCATCCCTGTACATTTTGTCGTTTATGAATGAACCAAAAATCAAAGTCTACTTTAATCTGCGCACTCGAAAAGCAGCTCTCTGATGCAACTCAAGCGTCCGCTTCATTAATGCATTGAAGTGTGTGTGTGTTTAAAATGCAAAAAGTTTTAAGATGTTTTATTAATTAATTTGATGAATTAAGTTGAACTGCATTTTCAACATTCTTTCTTGTTTGTTTGTATTTATATATTCATTATTTTATGTATTTGTTCATTTTTTCATTATTTATGTTCATTCATTAATTCTCTGATTTTATCTAATTAATAGGTTCAGTAATATTTTTTTACAAACCCGGTAAAAGGCAAAAATTATTACTATTATGATATATTAATACAGTAATAAAGTATAACCAATATTATTTATAATAAGTAATATTATTATTTTATTTTATTTGTAGCATTTTCAGTATTTATGCTTTTTAATTTAAATATAAATTGATGGTTGGTTTGCACGACACCATTTTCAACTAAAGACGTAAAGTGGTTTATGCGTCTTGGCCGTTGATTTACACAACAACGGCCTGAGGACGCAAAATTTTGTCAATTATTACGTTATCGTCTACTGCAAAAACTGTAACATCAAGCGATACTTCCAAATGCGCATAAATCTTACTCTGACCACACAATATCAAGTTAGTCACAGCGCCCCCTATCAGTCGAAAGTGATAAACCATTACAATAGTATCACTAATTACTGCCATTTTGAATAAAATAATCTTAAAATGTATTTAATTGCTCATTGTTGCAGTTGATCTGACACTCCCAGTCATATTGGCTTGTTTTTTTATCCTGTTATTTGCCCTGATAATTGCTGATGCAGCTATATTTATTGTTATTATTATGACAGTGGACTAGATTAACAGCCATCAGAACTGGACATAATGCAAGTCTTAATGTACCCGTGATAAGCGGTGGTTCATGTTGAAGATAGTGATCCAGCTGCATCTGGTGGCTTTTGCCTGGGCTCTTGCATAAGGTGAAAGCCTGTTATCAGTCCTCATGAACTTCAGTCGCACCTTCACATGACTCAGACAAACATTAGACCACCGCTGGGCCGCTCGCGAGTGGGAATCACACTGTACAGTAAAGCTCAGATTAGATTGACAAGACACTTTTCTCTGTGGTTACACATTTAAATATATTGATTTTTGAGTAGCTGAGATGTTTTCCATTGCATTCAAGCAAACATGCACAGCTTGAATCCCCCCCCCCCCCCCCCCACCCCCACCCCCCGACGCTCTGACGGTTTCAGGAAATCGGTTCATTTCAGTGTATTGATTTGCTGGTTCATGACTGTCAATGGAATAATCATGACAAACGTGTTCGGTTGAGTGATGTTAATCACAATTCACCATTTTTGTCTTATATTTTTTTCTTTATTTTTGGTAGGTTAAAGTTTAATCCTGTCACTCTGATTGTCTTTGTGCCATAACAATACTTGTCTGTTTTTATTATTATTATTATTATTATTATATCTGACATTATCTGAAAAATATTGATCTCTTAAAAAGCTTTGATTCAGTAATCTACTTTTTTTCTACTTTAATCTCTGTGAGATTAATATTTTTAATATTTAAATGGTTATTTTAAAAGCAAGGTTTTTTTGTTGTGCAGTGGCGGAGAAATAAAATTTTAGTTCAGTTTTAAGAGTTTGATGATCTGTATGTATAATGATAATAATTATTATTGGCTTAATTATCTATATTTCATTTAAAATAGGATAGTTTTTGCCAGGGCAGTTGTGGATTATTATTATTATTATTATAAATACTTAAATAATTTTAATTTAAATATAGCTTTAGCATTTACAGTTTTTTTTTGGAAATGCAGTGGAGAAGAAATAACATTTTAATTCAATTTAAACCATTTAATTTTGTTCAATTTTAATGGTTGTATGTAGGATTATTATTGATAACTATTATTTTATTTTGCAATAATATTTATATGGTAATGCCGTGGCAAGAAATCACAATTACTATAATTTTGAATTATAGTAATTATTATTAATACTTATATTATGTTTAATTTAAAAATGCATGATGGTTCTTTGATGATATTGATGGCTCGATTTAAAAACCATATCTGCTCAAAGAACCAGAGAGGTATTTGACTGACTGTATAATGATATAATATATTTAGTGCCATATTTGTCAAGGAAGGTACAGGTCTTTACTATTGTGTTTGGTTAGACTTGTGCAGTGATTGAATGTTAAACAGAAATGCATAGACATTCCTAGAGGTTTCCCACCCTGCCATGAAGCCAATCACCTTCGAGACCCCGCAGGACGGTCCCGGCTCTGCTATTGGCCGAGAGCGTTGTTGATCTCCTTCAATGCGTCTGCACTTTCATTATTAGCAAAATGACAAACGTTGCAATAACACTATCATATTTTATCATACTATTGTGTTTAAAGCTGAAGGGAATGTTTTTACACACTAACACGTTGTAATTGTAGTCATTCATTGTTGCAAAGCTTTGTGAGTTATCTGAAGGCTTGTTTATCTGGATGTGGGATGTTTTGGACTCTGTGCTGGAGGTGGACTTTGTGTTGGCCAGTAATCGTTCCCAGAGAAACACCTCCCCGAGCGGAGGAGGGAAAAGCCCGTCTTGGAGAATGATATATAAAGAGGGAGCGAACCCGTCCTCTTCCCTCCACAGCGCCGGTTTTCATCCTCACAGCCCTGTCACTCCATCAGACAGGAAATCACTCGCAGGTCAGTCCTCTTACAGCTCTGTGAGTTTATGATCAAATATAACAAAGTTCTCAATAAATATGAAAAATATTTTGTAAAATAATGTCATGTATTATTTGTAATGCTATTCACACCAATACTCTGATCTTTACCTGTGTATGTATGCGAGTATGTTTCTCATGACTTGATCAAAAGGATCATCCTGCTGAAATGCTTGAAGTTAAAGCTGCAGACAATTGTAAATTGTGCCTAGATATGAAGTTATGTGTAATGGATGAGTATGGAGTGTACTGTGTGCAACAAGTGTGCAGTCATTTAAAAGCTTCCCAGGATGCACCTCAGTTTCTCACTGTACTATGTTAATGTAAACTGTGTGTGTGTGTGTGTGAGACAGCGGTCAGTATGGTGGGTCTGAAGCCGTCCGATGTTCCTCCTCCTCCGGCGGTGAAGGTCCTCAGCGCGGGGATGGCCGGCTGCATCGCGGATCTAGTCACCTTCCCTCTGGACACGGCTAAAGTGCGCCTGCAGGTACAGACGGGACGTCCCAGAACAGCCTCGGGACTCAGACTGTGTTTGCACCAATAATACTTATTATATTATATATCAATAATCTGGGTAGTTAGGAGTTTTGCTAATTCATTTATTTCTTTGTTTAATATTTATATTCATTTTTCAAATTTGTATGAATAATATTTGTATTTTGTAGATTTCTGAAGAATATATTATCAATATGAAAAATATTATAATCTGTTCCTGAATATGATTGTATTAAATGTTATATATAATACTATATATTGATATATATTTATATAATATTTATGTAAAATTTTATATATATATATATATTTCCTGTAATACTATATATTGATATACTGTATATGTATATATATTTATATTGTATTTATATTAAATTATACATATATATAAATATATATATATATATATATCATTTAAAATTGTTAATCTATTTAAAATGCATATGATTGATTTAAATTATTATTTAAATATATAATATATATTGCAATATACTATATTATGTTTTTGCACTAATAATATTTTTATGAATATTATATAAATAATCTGGGTAGTTAGAAGTTTTGCTAATTAATTTATTTCTTTGTTTAATATTTATATAAATTTTTCAAATTTGTATTAATAATATTTCTATTAATAGTTCAAATTGTAAATATATATATATATATAAAATAAAAAATCTGTTTAAAATTATTATAATCTGTTCCTGAATATAACTATATTAAACGTTATATATAATACTATATATATATATATATATATATATATATATATATATATATATATATATATACGTATATATACATATATATATATATATATATATATATAAAATATTTATATATAGTCTTTTCCTGCTTGCATGATTGATTTGAATTATTATTTAAATATATAATATATATTGCAATATACTATGTGTTTGCACTAATAATATTTTTATATAAATAATCTGGGTAGTTTGGGAATTTTGTCAGATATTAACATTTAAAATTGTAAATCTATTCCTTCTTTTTTTAAAGGTTAAATATTAAATGTTAAACATATTCCAGTTCCACAGATCAGGCTTAATCTAGTCCCAGACTAAAATGGATGTTTGAGCTGAAAGCGCTGATATATGTCATTGTTTTATCTCAAGATGCACATCAGTAGTGTTTCGAAGGCATGTTTACAAAAGCTACTTGCATGTCTTAATTGATCCAAGACCTAATCCTAATCCTGGCTTAATCTAAACCCTGTCTGTGCAACCAGCCCTGTGTATAGTAAACAAAAACATTTTTGTTGCATTACGATATTTCTTTCTTTATTACATATACTTGCAATTGCAACTCAACCCCTGATCATCTGTTTCGCCCCAGATCCAGGGAGAGAAGGGGGTGACGGGCGCTGCCGAGGGCATCCGTTACCGAGGTGTGTTCGGGACCATCAGCACCATGGTGAGAACCGAGGGCCCGCGCTCGCTCTACAACGGCTTGGTCGCAGGTCTTCAGAGGCAGATGGCCTTCGCCTCCATACGAATCGGCCTCTACGACAGCGTCAAGAACTTCTACACGCGGGGCAAAGACAGTGAGTTCAGCTATAACACACATCCCCGCACAGAGAAGGCGAGAGTACGAGAGTGTGAGAGTGTTGGGATGAAGGTTTGGTTTTGGCCTTGCAGACCCTAACGTGGGTGTGAGGATCTTGGCGGGCTGCACCACCGGGGCGATGGCCGTGTCCGTGGCTCAGCCCACAGATGTGGTGAAGGTGCGTTTCCAGGCCCAGATGAACCTGCAGGGTGTGGGCCGACGCTACAACGGGACCATGCAGGCCTACAAGCAGATCTTCCAGCTAGAGGGACTCAAAGGCCTGTGGAAAGGTGTGTATTCTGCCCCTAGAGAAGCTGTTACCAAAGCCCTAAACTTTTATTAAAGGGGTACTTCACCTCTGGAAAGATGAATGTGTATTTAAAATGTAGAAGAAATGTGAAATTATTTTTGAATTTGGAGCTTTTTAGACTGAGAAAAGCCAGAAAATGTATTTTTGGCTCATGTGGATGAAAGACAACAACTCCCAGAATGCACTTGCTTCGCTTCCCTAGGAGGCCACGCCTACCGGTGACTTAGCGCAGTCGTTAAACAACAAGTCTAGGCTACTAGTGAGTCTCCGTGAGTCTAAGTTACATCTTTTAAGTTCTTCAGCAAAAATGACTAGCCTAGCTAATAAAGTTCAAACGTTATTAAAGGCAAGTGAACCGTCAGTAAAAACTAATTTAACAAAGTAAGGTCTAAATAGTTTATTCAGGTACAGACGTTGGCTAATAATCAAGCCTAAATCTAAAATAACACTATACTGAATAAATTAAAAATAGATCAATCTTTGTTAAAGCTGTGATCTACGGAGGCGTATTGCATTCACTTGAAGAAAAAAAAATCGACTCTGTTTTTCTGAATTAACGAGTTAATTTTTCATGAGAAAAAAAAATTTGCTCTGTTTTTCTGAATTAATGAGTTAATTTTTCATGAGAAAAAAAGTTTTTGCTCTGTTTTTCTGAATTAACGAGTTACTTTCTCATGAGAAAAAAAGTTTTTGCTCTGTTTTTCTGAATTAATGAGTTAATTTTTCATGAGAAATTTTTTAATTCAGAAAAACAGAGCAACATTTTTTTTCTCATGAAAAATAAACTCATTAATTCAGAAAAACAGAGCAAAAAAAATTATCATGAAAAATTAACTCGTTAATTCATAAAAACAGAGCAAAAAAATCTTTTCTCATGAAAAACTAACTCATTAATTCAGAAAAACAGAGCATTTTTTTTCTCATGAAAAAATAACTCGTTAATTTAGAAAAACAGAGTAGATTTTTTTTTTCTTCAAGTGAATGCAATACGCCTCAGTAGTAATCATTTATTTGATTAACATATGCTATTTATAGGTTGCTGTCACTTTAAGACCAATATAACGACACGGATCCCATTTCCTTCTCGACAGATTAGTAATTAATAATCTATTTATTCGCATCTTAAAAGACCATTACATAATATGTTTTGGAAAAAGATATTTTGGGCCAAAATAATGTTCTTAATCCTAATCTGGCTTTGCTTAAGAAACAACAGCACTGAGTATATCTTATTTATTATGTGTGATTTGTGTGAATACAGGAACTCTGCCGAACATCACGAGGAACGCCCTGGTCAACTGTACAGAGCTGGTGTCTTACGATCTCATCAAAGAAGCCATTCTCAGATATAAACTCCTGTCAGGTAAGAGCCACCACTGAAAACTCACAGGACGCCTGGAAATCAGGAACCCCCAAAAAGCCAGTTGGATATTTCAACAGGATGAGCACTTTGATATGTCGCTCCCAACATATATGTCATTCATATTGCACAACTTATTGTTTTTGTTTAGCATTTTTATTAAGAAGGGATCATTGAATCCATAAAATACGATTTCAGCACATTCCCCAAAACTCAAAGCATATGCCAGCGTGTGTCGGGGCCTCGAAATCAGGCCAAGAGTCCATATGGCGACACAGCAGGAGCGTCTGTGATTGGTCAAAGCTCACACGCCCTCCTTTTACTGTCCAACCTCCAATAACCAGTGTGGATCGTGGTGGAATCAACCAGTACAAACCACTTCCACCAGATAAGATAGTACTGGTGACCAGCAAACCCTTACATGACATCAGCACATGTGTAGTGAAGGCATGTCAGTGTTAACTTACACTACAATTAGAAATGATACCTTGCAAACTAACTAAAATAGTTCCTTTTCTTTCTTTCTTTCAATTATCAACAAAGAATTTGAATTGTTTTATGTAGTAAAATTACTAAAACCAAATGTGAAATAAAAATCAATTAAAGCTAAATAAAAATATTTCATCTCTCTTTTCAAAACTACCAAACTTAAAATTAAAGTGAAAACTGTAAATATAATAAAAATATATTTTTATATTTTCCATTTTAATTTTAGTTAATTCTTTATTAATTTTTTTTTTAAACAACAAAAAAATGTCAGTATATTTCATTTTTTAAATTATTTTAAATAATGTTTTTTTTATTTCAATGAAACGATTTTATTATGTTTTAGTTTGATAATGTTTTTTGCTTAATACTTAGTATTTTTAGAGGATTTTATGGTACTAAATTATATATATGGAATAGTTAATCCATGTGTTACCATGTATAACTTGAAACTGTAATAAATCTTGAAAGCTTTGAGCACAGACTTAAGTTTGGTCTCTTTTTAAAGTCTCTTTTTGTTTTAGTTTATTATTATGAAAAATAATATTATTCAAAATTTAAATTGTATATGACAAAGTATATATTTTCTCTAAAACTCTGAGAAAATCAAAGTCATAAATCTAAGCAAGTTGTGCACCAAATTTGAGGTTGATATTTCAAAAAATAATTAGTAAGACAAACGTTTGCACTGGATAAAATGTTAGTTTTCAATTCGTTTAATTTCCGATGCGAACAATACATGTAACTTTTTTTCAGGACCATTTAACCATTTTAAAAGCTGTCCATGATTTTGTGTGTGTGTGTGTGTGTTCACGCTGTTAGCGCCAAAACCTTTACTAAGTTTCGTACCATTCTGATGAAGTAAAAAATTCAAAAGATTCGTATTTTCGGTCAAAAATAACTCTTGAAAATGAGAAACGTTGCAATAAAATACATCCTTTTAATATTTCACTTTATTTCAGTTAACTTGTTATTTCAAGTAATACATTTTTTTAAATGTTTTAGTTAACTAGAATAACTTGCACTGGACACATTGAACGAAATGAACAAAATGAACGAAATGATCAGTAATATGTATTCCTGTTTTTGCATCGCAGACAATCTTCCGTGTCATTTTGTGTCTGCGTTCGGCGCCGGTTTCATCACGACCGTGATCGCGTCCCCAGTGGACGTGGTGAAGACTCGCTACATGAACTCTCCTCCCGGTCAATACAGAAGCTCTATCAACTGCGCCTGGACGATGATGACCAAAGAGGGACCGACCGCCTTTTACAAAGGGTGAGTGATCACACACTGTAACACTCATCCTATCTGTCCTGCGTGCTGTTTACGACTTATAGGGCCTAGTATACGACTGGGATCAGCGTTACATTACGAAATCTTGTTCGAGACTACTTTCACAATTGCATCATGGTTAATTAAAGGGATTAGACTTTATTTCGATAGTCCACTTTAGACATTCTACTAACTATAAGTAACTTTTGAACTATATGTCATCTGACTCTCATTAGAGTATTATTAGTGTAGTAGACTGTTAGGTGTTAGGGTTCGGGTTAGTAGAAGAAGTTTACTTGTAGTTGCCAAGTCTGTTGGGGGACAAACAAAGTAAAGTGTTAGCAAATATTAAAGGGATACTTCAGGATTTAGCATTAAGCTTTGTATTAGTAGCAAACCTGTAGTATTTTCAAATTACCATGCTTTCCACCCTCATATTCCCCTGAGACGAGAGTTTTATGTATTTTTTTGTCTGGAAAAAATCCTACAATGATGTAAAAATCTTGTGTCATCGGAGGATTTTGTTGTCCAGAGGCTGAAGACTACAGTCAGTAGTCGGGTCTGTCCCGCATGTGCTCAACCCGTCCATAGAGGGCGATCTCACTCACAGAATGAACACATAGTGTCGGCCATCTTGTTTTGGAAGCTAAGCTAGCAGGCTCTTGTTCTGTGAAGAAAGCTGAGTAGTAGGGGTTACCATCCTCTTTTTCCCGGACATATCCGGCTGTCGATTTCCGGGATTCAGCTTTTTCTTTCTGCAGTCGCCATTCATTGTTTACATGCATAGCTTTTGTTTCAATCTAACTGAATTAATCCCGATTGGTGAATCTGAATGAAGTGTTTACATGAGCGCTAAACAAGTGATCGGTTGATGTGCGTTTTAACATCGCTAAGAAAATTCCCGCTCCTCCCTGAGAGATACGAGACCGGTGCGTCTCACAGGTGTCGCTCATCGGTAATCATGCCACCGGCCTCGCACCGTTCTCCCGCGGCCCTCCCTCGTCCCGCTCGCCACAGTAAACATGATGAATGGCGACTGTAGAACGCAAAAGCCGAATCCCGTATATTTTGGGCGATCTCGAAACACATTTTCAGACAGATTCGTCACAGAGACTCACTAGTAGCCTAGACTTGTTGTTTAACGACTGCGCTCTGTTACCGGTAGGCGTGGCCTCCTAGGGCAGCAAAGCAAGTGCATTCTGGGAGTTGTTGTACAGAATACATTTTCTGGCTTTTCTCAGTCTAGAAAGCTCCAAATTCAAAAATAATTTCACATTTCTTCTACATAAATGACCCATTAAATTAAATACACATTCATCTTTCCAGAGGTGAAGTATCCCTTTAAGCAGAAATCCTCTAATGAGAGTTAGCTGTGATGTAGCTGCAAAATAGTTAGTACAACCTCTAAAATGGACTATCAAAATCAAGTGTTACCATTAAAAGTGAATAATAATAAAACTGTTTATTATGAACTCGCACTGAGGTTTTGTTGCCTGTCGCTTTAAATGCTCAAGCTTTACAGCAGGATGGATTCTCATTGGCTGTCAATGTTTTGATTGTTCATCAACTGGAAACAAAACACATTTTGAAAGTGATTCCAACGATATTGTTTATCCTTGTGTGACACACAACCATTCTTTTATTAGAACGATTTTTGAAACTCGTTATAGTTTTCGTTAACATACGAAACTTCCCTCTTTCTCCTTCAGGTTCGTTCCATCGTTCCTGAGGTTGGGCTCCTGGAACGTGGTGATGTTCGTGTCGTTCGAGCAGCTGAAGAGGGCTTTGATGATGTCCCGGGACAGATTCGAAGCCACCACGTAGAGGCTAAACTCACATCATTTCAAACACACGGACTCACACGAGCGGCTGTTTTAAACACCTAACGGGACGATGAAAACCAGATGCGCAGGCGCAGAAACTTCCACTTTGGAAGCTGAACAGGCAACAGTACGGGATACATCAGAATCAGATCATGATCGTCAGCGTTTCTCCTTCAGGGCATTTTTCATGTATGATAATTATGAAGCCGTTGAACAACGATTGATCACCCATCACACATATTGAAATGAGAGGATATTCTGAACCTCACCCCCCTTGATATATTAATGTACAAAATGTTTATGTAATATATTTATCTTTCCTCATTTTTTTAAGCCAATTAGTGCTTTGTTTAAAGCAACCATTTACTTTAATGTGTATTTAACTCTAAAACTTTTCCAACACGTCACCCTGGAATGACCTAGAAAGTGAGATTGCCTCAGGAAACCTATAAAGACACAAAGATTCGCATGTATGCATCAATAAAACACCTTAATACACCTTCTGGATGGGGACTGTGGAATATTTGTGATACTATGTGAAATAAGATTGAAATCCAAAGAAATATGAGTTTACATTCGTAGACATCTTTAGGCCTACATTCATGCTGATGCAAATCATTTACAGTTAAAGATTTTTAATGTATTAATTGGTTTGTATTGCCAATGTGTGAACAGCTTGTAACGAAACTTAAAAAACTTTACGTTTACATGCACGTGATCGCTTTCATTCAATTGCACGTGAAATGAACAATATTCAGGATAATGGCGAAAGAGCGTTAAGTAGAGATTCATTTTTGAAAACGTAGCAATTTACGTGAATCTGTCAAAAAAAAAAGTCAGATACACTGTTTAATTCTGAATATTATATTTTATTCTGGTATGCTTAACGTTATCGTTTTCTCAGAATTTAGGCTCCTGTGTAACAGTAGACTCACTAGGCTACTCAAACGTACCAAACCAACAATTACTAAAAACGTACAAAATATTTGATTTTGGACGGGCATTGCTCTAGTAAAATAGAATTTCAATATAAAATAGAATTTTATGCATTTTACCAAAATTCTATTTATTTATGAAAAATAACTTCAGCTCTATCCGGCCCTTGAATCGCGCTCAGCCTTGTACATTACATGTGTACGAGTTGCTGGCTGCAGTTTCACTTAACAGCCACCGGTGTCGCTAATAACAAGTTTATGAAATCTATATATAAACCCTTTTAACCCATTCAGACCCTGTGTCCATTACAATGGACATCACATGTCAGCCCCCTTTTTTAACTTCTGGAGCATTTCACCTAGTTTAAAGCCTGCAGTGCATGAGATTGGACGTTTGTCATCCAATCAAATGCCAGTAAAGCTCTGCATGTACTAATTATATAAAAAAAACTCTACATTGAAGAGAAGCATGGCAGTACTTCACTCCAAACACAGAAGCAAGCAACATTTTCTAAGGTGTATTTACATTTTGTATATATTTTTGCCAGTATTTCATAGTTTGTATGTAAAATAGAAAAACTACTTTTAATAAAGTTAAAAATCGACTGTAGAATTGCACGTTTTAAATCAGGATTTTTAAAATATGTCTGTCCATTAGAATGGACAGTAGGTTTGAAAGCCTGTTACTGAAGTCACATTTTCAGTGATGCTGATTGAAATTTCTTTTATAAAAAAATATATATCACAGTACCGATACATTTTTGAAACTTTTTCATGTGCAGAATGTACAGTTCTGAAGTGCTTGAACATATAACTGATGAAAATAGCTCAGATGTTGACTTTATGTGGAGTAATGAGGAAGATGGAGATGTAAGAAAAATATCCATATTTAAAACTTTATAAAGTCAAATAACTTCCGGCCAAAAGAACATATGGATTTGACTTAAATTTAAAGCGCAACTTAAATATGAATATTTTAAATATTTTATATTAATATATATTTTTTATGGATAGCTGCATTTTTATGATGGATAGATGCACTTGTATTATGAATAGATGCACTTTTATGGACTAAAACAGAAACTACCATTTACAGCCAATATAAAGCTTGGAAGGGCCAGGACATTGTTTAATATAACTCTGATTGTTTTCGTCTGAGAGAAGAATGTCATATACACCAAGGATGGCTAGAGGCCAGGGTGATTAAATCATGGGCTAATTTAAATTTTTGGGTGAACAATGGATTTAAAGGTATAGTTCAATCACAAATTATATTTGTCGTCACTTACTCACCCTCATGTTGTTTCAAACCTGTATGAGTTTCATACCATTTTTATGTTGGACACCATCCCGCATGCAATCTATTGAATGGGGTTTTGGGCAGGATATTTGATAGACATTTTAACTAAAGTTCCTGTCGTGATAAGAAACTACCCAGGGTTCGTCCGCGAACCCACTATTTTTATAATGGAATGTTGTAGGATCTCAATATCTCAGCTTTGGAAGGGTCTAGAGCCTCAATTTTACACTCAGGTGTAAGTCTCATGGCCCTCTATCAGAATACAGAGTTTCAAGAAGATTGGAGAAACTTATTTTTTCGCAAAAAAAAACCCCCAAGGGGTACCTCTGTCGGGTTTTTTTCGGGTCGAAATTTTTTGTTGCTCTGATCTTCTTAAAACTCTGGATTCTGATAGAGGGCCATGGGACTTAGACCTGAGTGCAAAAATGGAGGCTCTAGACCTTTCCAGAGCTGAGATATTGAGATCCACTGTGGTTTTTTTTTCTGGTCGAAATTTTGAGTTTCGATATCGTAGCTCTGGAAGGGTCTAAAGCCTCCATTTTTGCACTCAGGTCTAAGTCTCATGGCCCTCTATCAGAATCCAGAGTTTTGAGAAGATTGGGGAAACTTAATTTTTCGCCCAAAAAAAAAAAAAGTAAGGAGTAACACTGTCATTTTTTTTTCTGGTCGAAATTTTTATTTTCGATATCTCAGCTCTGGAAGGGTCTAGAGCCTCCATTTTTGCACTCAGGTCTAAGTCTCATGGCCCTCTATCAGAATCCAGAGTTTTGAGAAGATTGGGGAAACTTAATTTTTCGCCCAAAAAAAAAAACGTAAGGGGTAACACTGTCGTTTTTTTTTTCTGGTCGAAATTTTGAATTTCGATATCTCAGCTCTGGAAGGGTCTAGAGCCTCCATTTTTGCACTCAGGTCTAAGTCTCATGGCCCTCTATCAGAATCCAGAGTTTTGAGAAGATTGGGGAAACTTAAACTTTTCGCCCAAAAAAAAAACGTAAGGGGTAACACCGTCGGTTTTTTTTCTGGTCGAAATTTTGAGTTTCGATATCTCAGCTCTGGAAGGGTCAAAAGCCTAATTTTTTGCACTCAGGTCTAAGTCTCATGGCCCTCTATCAGAATCCAGAGTTTTGAGAAGATTGGGGAAACTTAATTTTTCGCCCAAAAAAAAAAAAAAGGAAGGGGTAACACTGTCGTTTTTTTTTCTGGTCGAAATTTTGAGTTTCGATATCTCAGCTCTGGAAGGGTCTAAAGCCTCCATTTTTGCACTCAGGTCTAAGTCTCATGGCCCTCTATCAGAATCCAGAGTTTTGAGAAGATTGGGGAAACTTAATTTTTCGCCCAAAAAAAAAAACGTAAGGGGTAACACTGTCGTTTTTTTTCTGGTCGAAATTTTGAGTTTCAATATCTCAGCTCTGGAAGGGTCTAGAGCCTCCATTTTTGCACTCAGGTCTAAGTCTCATGGCCCTCTATCAGAATCCAGAGTTTTGAGAAGATTGGGGAAACTTAATTTTTCGCCCAAAAAAAAAAAAAAAAGGGGGTAACACTGTCGTTTTTTTTTCTGGTCGAAATTTTGAGTTTCGATATCTCAGCTCTGGAAGGGTCAAAAGCCTAATTTTTTGCACTCAGGTCTAAGTCTCATGGCCCTCTATCAGAATCCAGAGTTTTGAGAAGATTGGAGAAACTTAATTTTTCGCCCAAAAAAAAAACGTAAGGGGTAACACTGTCGTTTTTTTTCTGGTCGAAATTTTGAGTTTCAATATCTCAGCTCTGGAAGGGTCTAGAGCCTCCATTTTTGCACTCAGGTCTAAGTCTCATGGCCCTCTATCAGAATCCAGAGTTTTGAGAAGATTGGGGAAACTTAATTTTTCGCCCAAAAAAAAAAAACGTAAGGGGTAACACTGTCGTTTTTTTTTCTGGTCGAAATTTTGAGTTTCGATATCTCAGCTCTGGAAGGGTCTAGAGCCTCCATTTTTGCACTCAGGTCTAAGTCTCATGGCCCTCTATCAGAATCCAGAGTTTTGAGAAGATTGGGGAAACTTAATTTTTCGCCAAAAAAAAAAAACGTAAGGGGTAACACTGTCGTTTTTTTTCTGGTCGAAATTTTGAGTTTCGATATCTCAGCTCTGGAAGGGTCTAGAGCCTCCATTTTTGCACTCAGGTCTAAGTCTCATGGCCCTCTATCAGAATCCAGAGTTTTGAGAAGATTGGAGAAACTTAATTTTTCGCCCAAAAAAAAAACGTAAGGGGTAACACTGTCGTTTTTTTTTCTGGTCGAAATTTTGAGTTTCGATATCTCAGCTCTGGAAGGGTCTAGAGCCTCCATTTTTGCACTCAGGTCTAAGTCTCATGGCCCTCTATCAGAATCCAGAGTTTTGAGAAGATTGGGGAAACTTAATTTTTCGCCCAAAAAAAAAAAACGTAAGGGGTAACACTGTCGTTTTTTTTCTGGTCGAAATTTTGAGTTTCGATATCTCAGCTCTGGAAGGGTCTAGAGCCTCCATTTTTGCACTCAGGTCTAAGTCTCATGGCCCTCTATCAGAATCCAGAGTTTTGAGAAGATTGGAGAAACTTAATTTTTCGCCCAAAAAAAAAACGTAAGGGGTAACACTGTCGTTTTTTTTTTCTGGTCGAAATTTTGAGTTTCGATATCTCAGCTCTGGAAGGGTCTAGAGCCTCCATTTTTGCACTCAGGTCTAAGTCTCATGGCCCTCTATCAGAATCCAGAGTTTTGAGAAGATTGGGGAAACTTAATTTTTCGCCCAAAAAAAAAAAAGTAAGGGGTAACACTGTCGTTTTTTTTTCTGGTCGAAATTTTGAGTTTCGATATCTCAGCTCTGGAAGGGTCTAGAGCCTCCATTTTTGCACTCAGGTCTAAGTCTCATGGCCCTCTATCAGAATCCAGAGTTTTGAGAAGATTGGGGAAACTTAATTTTTCGCCCAAAAAAAAAACGTAAGGGGTAACACTGTCGTTTTTTTTTTTCTGGTCGAAATTTTGAGTTTCGATATCTCAGCTCTGGAAGGGTCTAGAGCCTCCATTTTTGCACTCAGGTCTAAGTCTCATGGCCCTCTATCAGAATCCAGAGTTTTGAGAAGATTGGGGAAACTTAATTTTTCGCCCAAAAAAAAACGTAAGGGGTAACACTGTCGTTTTTTTTTCTGGTCGAAATTTTGAGTTTCGATATCTCAGCTCTGGAAGGGTCTAGAGCCTCCATTTTTGCACTCAGGTCTAAGTCTCATGGCCCTCTATCAGAATCCAGAGTTTTGAGAAGAT